CCCCGAGGAAGACCCAGGACACGTTGGAGGGACTATGTCTTACGGCTGGCCTGGGAAGGCCTTGGGGTTCTCCCGGAGGAGCTAGAAGAAGTGGCTGGGGAGAGGGAGGTCTGGGCCTCCCTTCTGAAGCTGCTGCCCCCGCGACCCGACCCCGGATAGGCGGAAGAAAATGGATGGATGGATGGATATTGTCAATATTTTTGTTCAAGGTTATCGTACCTTTACAATCTCATACCGACCGTCCCTGAAACCCTACCAGGATGCATTAGAGCCATTCAGTGTTGTTTTTCTTTCAGCTGCTCCTTTCTTCAGGAGTTGCAACAGTGAATGCAGAAAAAAAGATTGGCAATTGTTTTATGCCAGATGTCCTTCTTGACACAATGTGGGCTCAAACCGGCACCCTCAGGGATGCAAGTAATCACTGACCACCGAGCTACCTTACAGCCATTCAGTAATAATGTGTTGTTTCCTTAAAGCCTTGAGATTTCTTTTAGAGGGGAATAGAGAAAAACCTTCAACTATTCCAGGATGGTCTTTTACAGTCCAGTCAGTCACAGACTGATCAATAAGACACGTCTAGAAAGGATTTCTGTTATGTCCACACACATCAAAGTCTTCACCTATTCAGTGAAAACAACAAATACAAAACAGCAGAAAAAAACGAGTGCAGTACCTCAAAAGCGACTGCCATAGGTCCATTCTTGACCAGTTCCAACATCATGGCCATCTCACTGCAGCCTCCATAAAATCCGCCCACGTAGCCGTACTCTGCCGTGTATCTTCGGAGGCAGTCTTCAGCAACGCCACATGGAGAGTCCTTGCCGGTGTACGGAAAGCATGACTCCTCCACGACACCAAAATCCTGAGTGTATTTCCCAATCAGGTACGGGAAGCCTCCATCACAACCTTAAAATGGAGAAAAAGGAGAGCAAAGTTCAGGTTTTTATGCAAAACTATTTTTTATAAGAGAAAACTTCGTCCAAGCTTTATTTTTTGGTACTTATTTGTGCGGGAATGTGTAATTCAGAGCATTTATCAAAAAGCTGAAAGGACAAAAATACTGAAAACCACTTGAATCATTCTTGTTTTGGGTTTTCTTTCATACACAAACAACATTTTGTCAGGAATATCCTCCAATACAGTATGGATATTTTGAGAATATAATTTCTTCACAGCTATTCATACCTGTAATACCATGTCCTTACTACTGCAGGATTCAATAAAACAGGGTTTTCAGAGTAGTAATTTACCTTGAGAGTATTCAGAACAGGAGACCACTTGTTGTGGGCTGAGGATGGGAGTATCAGTGTTGTTTGTGAGGATTCGAACACGGGCTTCCAGCATTCCCATCGTGGCGAAAGAGTAGCAGCTACCACATGAGGCTGAAATGATGACAAATCACAATTTAGCAAGACTTTGAATTTATTGACTGTTAGAGTCAACTAAAATCAGTGCTAATTATTTTTAAAAGGTTTAAATGAATGACGATGTTCAGAAACGCTGCACCTAAATCTGCAAAATCAAAACAACCCAAATGAAACAGAAGATTAAAAGACGAGCAGTTTTGGACACTTTAGGATGTTTCTCTATGAATGCAGCATTTAGCACATTTCAGTAATTCTCCTGCCACAATTTACCTATCCACCACAGGCAATGCATAACAATAGAGCAAGACACAGACAGACACAGGTTAAAGAAAGTAATGAGCACATTTAGTCTCAGGCACCAGGTTCCTAATAAATACTCTACAGAGCTCAAACATGCAGAGGTTGATTTAATTGTGGTAATGACTCAAAGTGAGACACATGGGAGTTTATTTAGGTCCAAAACGTTGTGCTTTCTATAAACAATGAGGTCTTTTAATTTATCTAAGCGTTAAACTAGATGTGAGGTTCAACCATTAATGTTTCGTTTCAGTTTATGTGACGGTTTAAGGCAGGGCTATTCAACAGGCGGCCTGCGGGCCACATCCGGCCTGCAAGTGACCAAAATTCGGCCTGCCAATTGATTCATTCATCTCTTAAGCCCAAAGCCCCGGTTTTCTACTTTAATTAAAATAAGTTCTTTTAGTTAAATATAGACATGTTAAGTATCTACAGAAACATCAGAATCTTGACTAGAAGCTCGTAAAACCATTTCTATGAACAACCGAGACAGTTAAAATTACAAGCATTTGAAGATAAAGCTTTGAAATTGAAAATAAAATTAGCAAGTCAGGGATGTTAAAATTATATTTGTGTCAGACAGGAGGGATAATGCGTTCTTTTTGTTTTTGATATTGTTTAATTATCACTACTTTTATAGTGTTCTGTATGTTGTGCATAGGGCTGCACGGTATAGACGGTAGAAACTGTATTAAGTTGGCCTACGGTAGAAATTTATACTCTACCATCATATCGTCATTACATCATCGCACCTGTGTCAACAGGGCTACGAGTGCAGAGACAACTGAGCAGGAGTTTGAAATATAATGAAGAAATTCTAGCATTTTAAAACACATACATAGAGAAAAAATCCTCCAAATTTCCTCCTCCCGCTGTAGAAACGTTACGTCGTGTCGCGTGATCACCCCCACCCCCTTCTCCTCTCCCTGCACGTCGCGCAGAGCGAAGCTTTAACAACTGTAGTTTTTCACACCCAGTTGTCGGAGAAAAAAATGTTTATGTATTGTTACCCACAGAGGTTATATAAAAAAAAAAAAGACGTGGACGTTCATTCAGTCGTAAATCCATCTTGCTAATGTAAAGTCGGCTTCCGCTCTGATGATGATGATGATGAAGATGAGTGCGCAGCAGAGCAGCAGCTGATAAGTTCAGCAGGCAGAAGTTCATTGTTTGGCAGGCAGATATTAAAGCAAAAATGCTGGTTTAATTAAGATTACAGTTTTCTATTAAAAATGCTCTAAAAATTACATTATCTTAACTTTTTATGATAATTTTCTACCGCGATATATACCGTTACCATGAAGGGGTTCAATTTATACTGTGATATGAATTTGAGGTCATACCGCCCAGCCCTTAAGTGCAACAAAATAAACTATTTCAAAGGAAACAGAACTTTGTAATACTTGTTTTATTTACATAACTTTAATTGCTAGATGTTCAGCCCCTGAGCTGTTGACCTGCAGTAACTGTGGCCCCCGGAGCAATTTAGTTGAATGGCCCTGGTTTAAAGGTGTCATATTTTATCCACATGACACAGTTACAGCAGTTTCAGGGCCTGATGACTACTTAATATCAAATACTCAACTTTGTCAGGAGTGCCTTTCATGCTCTTTTCTATGTTTTAGCAGATAGTTTCCTAAAAAGAAAAAAATGGACATGATGGATACAGAATAGAAAATCAGCTGAGTACAAACCCAATAAATCAGATTTGCCTTTACATGTTTGTGTTTAAATTAGTTACCAGTACCAGCATTTTTAAAGTATTGTATTTGTACAAAGTGCCCTGATACCTGGAATCAATATCAATTCTAGCATTGATACTCCATTCAATGTGTTACTGTTTACATTTCAAGTGAAAGTTTGTCAGCTACCTAAGCTGAAGTACGCATACTCTGAGAAAAACTGGTATCAGGACTCTCCTAGTTTTAAACAACTTGAGGTCTTTCCTGCTAAAATGCCCGTAGGAGGGACATGATCCATGCACTAAATACAGCAGTAAGTTATACTACAATATTACATTTCTGCATTTATCTTTCAGCAGCAGAAAATAAAAGTTAACAAAAAAGACAGCTGCTTGTTTTACTCCTGATTATTGAAACAACAAATTCCTCCTCTCCTGTTAAACTTATTTATCAAGAGTACATCAGATTTTTACTTCTTCAAGCCGTGGATATACTCATTGAGAGCCCTCCTCCAGGCCTGCTCATCAGACTCAGACAAACCTAATCATATCTGAGCTGCTGTCATAAAAGTTTCCAGTACAGAAAGTTGATGATGAAATTCTAGGAAACTCTTTAAACATTTCCCTTTAAAAAAAAAGAAAAGGTAAGATTGTTAAGATAAGTTATTTACAAAGACTGTTAGCCCCAAGGTGAAAAACTGTCAAGGAGTTTTAAAAGACAGACATCAGAGTTTTATAAGCAGAGGAAGCAATATCTGACAGAAAGTGGTGGAGAAATATAAAAACACAGTAAGGAAGTCAGTCAGTAACACACTACATATGCTGGATTGTGCAGAGATAACATTTTTGGTTGATCTCAATATAGACATACTCATATCTTCCACCAAACCTAATAATGTTCTTAAAAATATATAAATATAAATTTGGAAGAATGTAAAAACAATCCAGACATCCTTCCTCCGCTGCTGCTACACAGTGAAGATTTCCTGCTTGAAGAAAGACTCCAGAGTGGCTTTTATTCAGAGCAAACAGGAGGCAGGTTTATGATGCAGAGTGCACAGTGGAAACGGCTGCTTTGTTTACAGCACACGGAAAAAGATAAAAAGATGGATGATCCTTTCTGTTCATCGGTATTTATGAATGTTGTTTTGATGTCAACACCAGATACAATGTTGCGCCTATATGAAATTTTGAACAAGATAAGGAGAGATTGTACAAACAGCCGTTGTCAGTTTGCACAAATCACTCGCAGTATCTGAGATACTACCGTGTAGCTGGATTTTACATATCAACACAAGAAGCCCTCTGCTCGCTCCGTTTCTCTCATACTGATTTTCTGCATGTGCAAAAATCTACAAACCTTGCAGATGTGTGAGAATAGCTTCAGATATTTAACAGACAAAAATGTAAAATACATTTATGCTTTATCCATCCATTTTCTGTACACGCTTCTTCCTTTTCAGGGTCACGTGGGTCACTGGTGCCCATATCCAGCAGTCACAGTGCGAGGGGCGGGGTACACCCTGGACAGGTCGCAAGTCCATCACAGGGCCACACATAGAGACAAACGAGACAAACAACCATTCACTCTCTCACTCACACCTAGGGACAATTTAGAGTTATCAATTAACCTAACAGTCATGTTTTTGGTCTGTGGGAGGAAGCCGGAGTACCCGGAGAGAACCCACGCATGCATGGAGAGAACATGCAAACTCTACCCAGAAAGGTCCCCGGACCGGGATTTGAACCGGTGACCTTCTTGCTGAGAGGCATCAGCTCTACCAACTGAGCCAACGTGCCGCCCATTTATGCTTTAGTCCAGCTTAAAATTTAAGAAGTACAATGATACAAATAGGCTGGGCAACTGTGCATCTTTGCTTGGTGGCTGATATTATGCATATCTCAATACAATACAGTGTTTTCTCCCAGTATATTGGAGGCCTGGTGGGCCATCATGCTTTACTCACCTCGCCAAGCTAACTATCACTTAGGGATGGGTACCTTTGACATTTGAATCGATTCGGTGTCAATATCCGGTACCTGGGAATCGGTATCGGTACTTAACGGTACCAATTTTTGGTACTTTGTGTGTGTTGTTTTTTTAATAATAAATTTTTTAACATATTTCTCAGTATATAAAATTAACAAATATCAAGACAACATCCAACTCTATGTATTGTAACATCAATTGTGTTACTTATTTCTTTAAAGTGAAAACTCTTGAAAACAACAAGACTGTTTTGTCTTACTGCACAAATTAAAATCCAGCTCCACGTGTTTCTATTGATGTCATTTCCCAGCTAGAAAAATTGTGTGATGGAGGTCCATGGAAGGCAAATAAGTTTAAATCAAATAAGCAAGAGAGGATTGAGTTAAAATAAATAAAAAGGTATTCAAGCTACATTTTGTGCATCCAAAATGCGTCCAAAGCTTTAAGCTGGCTGCTTGTGCTCTTTCAGGTCAGATGAGTTCTGACTGTCGGGAAGCCCCTCTGTTGTTTTCCTCTGTCGGTCTCTGTTTAATGGTGGATGAAATAAAGAAAGTGGTGGTACTTTATTTACTTTGAGCAAGTGAACGTTGTGTTCACAAGATAATTAATCCACCAGATAATTCAGAGGCGGTCTGTTCAGCAAGTTTAGGAGCTGCAAAGCTCACTTTCAAGCTACGTTCAGACCGAGCTCTGTTTACTGAACCAGCGGCCGCTGACGTCATTATGCTCTTGCGCGATGCTGTGTTCAGGACAAGCATGGAAAACTCACCACTCTTACGCCAATACAGTCGCAATGATGCGTTTAGGTACCGAAACATGGTACCGTTTGATGTTACGTGAATAGGTTCTCAGCAGTACCGACAGAATTCGGTCTGTACATAAAAAACTATCGAATTCAATACCCATCCCTACCATCACCACAGAACCGTTCACCCTCCCTACCAAACATCTGCCATCTCTTAGACCTATCAACAGTTGTGTCTAAATTCAGGGGCTGCATCCTTCCACGGCTGAATATGAACGCAGATTACGTCACTGCGCTGTGCCAAAGTCTGTCCAAATTTGAAAGCTTCCCTAATTGCGATCCACAATTGCATCCTCCTTAATGCATCCTTCTCAGCCCACCCTATCCCACGATGCATTGCAGGCCGACCGTGAGATATTTTTGCTTGTAATGGTGGGCAAAGCGAGACGCAGGTGTTCAGTTTTAAAGTAAAGCAATGAGTAGAAAGCCAGTTATTAGCTCACATTGACCGGGTAGACCGGGTCCTTCAAAGGACACAGACCCTGAATTTGGACAACGTCAACAACTGGATTCATTAGAGACACATGAGCAGTAAAAACTGATACGATTCACAAAACAATTTAGTCTTTTATCATGATGAGTCAATACAACACATTTTTATCTATACATATGCAGAAGTAGTAGGTTTCTAAGAGTCAAACAGATTTCAAGGTGTTATATAAATTATTTAGAAGATGCTAAAAATGGTTCTTTAAAACATTAAGGTTGTAGAACCTTCATCTAGTCTAATACTTGTTTATCTTAAACTACAAAAAAACTGTTCATTGAAAACATAACCAATAAGTAAACACTGTATTTTATATGGTGCATACAGTAAACAAAAATTATGTAGTTTTACAGATTCTCTTTCTGCATCTGAGGTACATTAAAAATATTAATAAAGGAGCTCTGATTCTACAGATACTCTTTACTAAGACCAACCAGAACACAGTTTTCTTTTCTCCCTCCAACCAAGTATTGTGAACAGCAGCAGAACTTAAAAAAAAGGAAAGAAGTCCACTTGACTCATAACGTTACGGAAAAATAAGCCCTAGGACCCTGCTCAGTGGCTTAGAGGGCTTCGACTGAACCACTTCTGCTCTCTCCAGACTCTTAAAGCCCACCCTACAGAGACCCTCTCAGACACTCAAGAGTGCTCAGCCCGCATAATCTCTTCACTCACACACTAGACCGTGCAGAAAACACGGGGAGAGCAGCAAGCAGACCCAGACGTGCCAAGAGCGGAGGAGGTGAGCTGCCGCTGCTCTGCGACGAGTTTCCCAACAGCTGGTTAATCGTAAAGCTGAAGATCTGTCTGCCTCTAAGCCTGGAAGTAAATTCTACCCCTTACACCTCTCGTCAAGTGGAACACGATTACAATTACAATACAGCCACCATCTTCCCCTCTAACACAGGTTTTTTTTTTCTTCTGAATGACAGGATTTTGTTCAATTGTAAAAATATCGTGTTTGCAGTTTGTAACGGACGGAAAATTAAAAGTCACCTTGATTTCTCACGGGGCTGACAAAGTTAACACCGTTCACATTCCTCCAATCCCACTTCTCAGGCAGAGCTGCAGCCATCTTGGCTAAATCGGCACTCACAGACATGGGACGAGCACGCCTAAAAGAGGGAAAATAAATAAATAAATAAATAAATAAATAAATAAATAAATAAATAAAATAAATAATATCTTTTAATCACACTAAATTGTTTTTTACAAACACAAACAACACCTGGTATAAAATGAAAAATGGGAGTGAATCCTCACACAGGGATGCGGGAGGCGGGCCCTCCTGCCCGGTGAAGCAGCTCCTGTAAAGTGAACGTCTCGTGCTCTGGATACGGCATGGCCTTCCAGGACGCCTGAACGGAGTTGATCAAATCAATGAAGTCCAGGTTGTGTTTGTACGGCTTGTGGAGCAGCCTGGGGGGCAGGAAATAATGCAACAGATGATGGAGACGTTAAAGTAGGGGCTAAACAACCAGTGAAAACAGTGAAAACAAACAAGCAGAGGGTAATAGGTACAGATTATAAAATACATGCCTGACGGTTGAACCTGCAGCTGAACGTTTTAAAAAATCTATATAAACCACCTATTTTTTCCTGTATTCCAGCAAAACATTTAATGCTAAGAATTGAATTTAAAAGAAACTGCTCAAATAAATGGCAAAATTAGAGTTAATGAAAATAATCTAATTTTTTTTTTAAATCAAATTGTTGGTTTTATGGAACCATTTAAATCAAAAATCGAGTCGCATTGCCTACAAACCAGAAATATGCCACTTAATAAACTGGCTTGAGTCCAACAAGATTGGCCAGATGCAGGAAGCAGCTGAACGCCATCAGAAAATGTGTTCATTTGCACCACCTGCTCAATAACTGCATTCATCTCTGGTTCATTGGATGCAAATATGCAAATTCATCCTGTAGCTTTTTTTTTTTCTAAAACATCATGGGGGTGAGGTTAGATTGCAATTGTTATTTTGACAAAAAGAAAAAAAAAGAAGAAGAAAGAACTCATGATTCAAATCCATACCCACTGCTGAAGACTGGTTTGTCATCTGTCCTGGGTGGCACCGGATCGACCTTTTTCCCCACAAAACAGGCCCAGTTCTGTCCCAGAACGTCATGGACCCAGCCCGGCAGGGTCTGGTCGCAATAACTGGTGACTTTGGAGCCTTCCTGCTTGTACTGAAAGTGTCAGAAAAGCACTATTTTAATTAGTTTTCATCCTAAACGCAAATATTTTAAATACTGTTGAACAGGTGTCGTTTCTTTCAGTAAAGCACTCAGGTGTTCATTGTGCTTTTTTCGTTGTCAAAAGGAATTCTGCGATTCTTTCTGCTCAGGGCTGAACCGACAAATAGATCAAAATATAATTTTCATAAGAATCAGATAACGAGGAAGTTGAATCAGACAAGAATAGCCCTGAATGCACGTGGAAGAACAAAATGTCTGTTCCACTTCCCTTAACTCGGCATCACGTGAAAATGAACTCCTGCACCTAAAGAGAGCATATTTTGCAGACGCCATATGAAGGAGGAGGAAATGAGAAATAGTGAAACCATTGAATGATTAATAACTTATAGCAAATGACGTTAGTTTTAACCTACGAGCTGTTTTCCTCCACCAGCTTGTGAGTTAATAAATGACAGATCTGATTGTGCTGAGATCAGCTGAGCTACATCAAAGAGGATGGTATGTTTTTGTTGTATTAAAGCTTCAAACTACAGAGGCCTTTTAACTCTTACCTTGAAGAAGGCGAACCATTTGTAGCCACTGATGACCACCTCAAAGCCCTGGTTGTAGATGAGGGTGAAGAAGCCGGTGTTTCCCACCTCGTCTTTGGACACAGACAGCTTTTCCAGGGTCACAGTCACTGTGCTCTCCCCTGTGGCTGAGGAGAAAACACATATTAACATGTTATACCCCGTGCTTGATCTAGAAGTGTTGTTTCTGTTTCACATGAGAGAAGAAGACAATAAAGTAGCACTTAACTATGAGTCAAACTTCAGCTGAAAACAGGCTCCGACATATCACATGACAACTACATTTGTTACTTTTTTTATTTCTTTGTCATCAGCCACGTGTGCCTGCTGGTTTTACCTTCAGCCGAGCAGTTGACGGTCTTGTCGTGTCCCCCCTTGGACACCTGGAAGACCCATGTTCCCAGCAGGTCCTCATAGGTGCAGTTGGCTGGTGTGTCACCCCAAGACCCCTCAACCCAAAGCAGGAACACACACACAACAACGCCGCTGAAGCGCATCTCTATTCTATTCGCTGCTAAGCTAACTGGCTGCCTCCCCCCTACAAACACACAAAAACTCCACAGAACAACGGTGAGATGCAACTAATATCTGCAAACTACGCAGCTACAACCAGACAGTCGCTCTGTTAACAAATACTGACAAAACGAAAGTTGATTGTTCAGAATTTAACTTGTCACGGCAAGATAGTTCCCTGCAAATTGATGCCTCGTCGCGCATGCGCACTACAGGCTATCAGATTAGATAACAAATAAAGCAGCCAAGCAAACTTGTACTTCAAAGTTACATATTTAATTATAGCCTCATAACATAGGTTTAAGAGTGGCCCACTAAGTGATATGTTTGCGCTCTAACTACCTTGTAAATTGCCCACACATGCGCTAAATCAACAAACAGGAAGCCACAGTCTAATTCACCTCTTGCTAACAGTTTCTCTTTGTTTCTCCATCCTTTTATAAACATTTTCTTGTCATATGACCACACAGACAGACGTGTGACACAAAAACAGAAGAAGCTGGTGGAAGATCATAAACCAATGGAACTTCTGATGACAAGAAAAAAGATCTGGATATCCAAAATAGACATTTTGAATGCGTTATTCTCTGAACGTTTAATCATTTTTTTATGTAAAATTATTTGAAACATCTAGGATAGTTATTTTTATTTTAGGACATCTACATTGAAACTTATGCTAGAATCAAGACTGTGGATTTTATTATTATTATTTAAATTATATTATTCAATTGCATTTCAGATTATCTGTGAGGAAAATGTATATATATATATATATATATTTTTTTTTTTAAGGGGAAAATGATGGGGGAGAAATTAAATATTCTGTTTTAGAACTGAAATGTTTGTTGAGGATAGGAGGAATGGAATTTTAAACATAGCTGAAAAAGAAAATTTCACCATACCTGTCAACCTTAAATGCTATTTCCTTCAAATGTCAGAAAGTATAAAATTATAATACATTTGTAATGCAAGGACAACAATGCAAAAGTTGTGGTAACACAAAAATGATGCTGTACCATGTACTAAGAACCCTTCCATGTCATTATTTTCACATGTCAGTAGCCATGTGTGACTGAATTGATGGGATAGAGGTGTTTGTGCTTTCAGAAGGTTTTATGGAAGTATTGAAAACATTTTCTGCCTGGTAATAAATAAAGATTCAGAGAATGACAACAAGGATTTAAAATTAGTGCAGCTGAAAATGTTCTTAATGAGTGTCCAGATGTGTCCCAGCATGTCTTAAAGTTGGCAGAATTAGCTATGCAACGCTACACATGTCGGTGCCACAGGAAGCGTTTGTGTCTGCTGTGTGAGTCACCGTATGTGAAGTGTGAAAATTGTTTTTTCACCCGCTGCTGAAAGGTGGGCGACAAGGCTTTTGCCCTTATCTGAGTGTGTCTATATTTTTACCAAATGTATTTTTCGAACCTCTGAGTCCTATCAGATGTTGCAATATCTTTGTTTCATGCTTTGACATTAACTATTTCGAGTCAGTTCTGTTTGTTAGCAAAATATCTCATTAACCAATGGACAAATTTCATGAAGCTTTCAGAAAAGAATGATTAGATTTCCATTTTCAACTTATTAAGTCTTAGAACTGACATAATTCAAAACCAGCTTATAGCCGCATCATGTAACTCAGTCAGTTTTTACAAATATTGAACTTTAACTTGAGGTGCTATCTGAGAGTCAGTCACAACACATACTTTGACATCTTATCACATGAGACTGAACATATCATTTTCAAGGTTTGACCCCTCTGTCATTTCTCATCACAAGACAACTTTGTTTAAAACTCATGAAAGTCATTGGATGATAAGCACTGCTTTGAGTAATGCAGAGCCTTTCATGACTTTTGATTTTGTGCACAATCAGAATTTTGCAGGTGATCTATTTATGGTCTGTGTTCATTATTAATATAAAATTAGTTTTGGTCTGTCGATTTTCCTCTTCTTTTTTTTTTTTACCACGATGGCTGTCATGTAAAGTTGCGTTGATGCGCTCTCTGTGGGGGGATTTTGGTCCCACTTGTTGAGAACGGTCACCCACCTCAGCCGGCCTGTTGTCGTGTTTGTATGGGGGTGTCGATGCACCCTGATGAGTCTGTTGTTTCAAGGGTTAAAGAGCTTGTTTTAGTTGACTGGCACTTCAGGGAAGTGCGGGGGTGGGGGGGGGGGGGGGGGGGGGGGGGGGGGGGCTTTTAGCACCATGGTAACCATGGCATAGACTGACACATCTCCTTGACAGACCATAATAAGCACTTGTATGAAGAAGGGACTGAAGAGGCATTAGTCATGCAGTCTCATTAGAGCCATTACAGCGTGTTTGTGTGGAAGCGTGAATGCGTGTGATTACTTTACACTGGGGCCGTGTGTAGGATGGTGCATTCATGGGACTATATAGGCACATGTGGATGTGCTCCTGTGGAATCAAGTCTATAAAGGAGCAGGAAGCAGGCAGATGACGGGGGGGGGATGCTTCAGATGTTAACAGCCTGAACCCACTGAGCCTTGTGTGAGTGAATCATTGGAAGTTGTGTTTCAATCTTGATGCAGTTCTCACTCTCACAGGCCGGAAATTAAAACTCCAGCGACTCTGAATCCAGCTTTGTTCTTTGTTCGCTCTGATTGCTCTCTGCCACTGTCATAGTTTCACTCTTCTGTCAGGTTCTTTGATTTGATGCTTTTTTTTTTTCTTCAATTTGTTGGAAATACTTAAGGGTCTGCTGTAAACACAGTCTACAGAAACAATAAAAAATATCTTGGATCATGCTAAACATTTACCTAGTATAAAAAATGGTTTTGAGATATTTTAGTGACTATACAGAAAAAGGTTTTGTATGTGTGTGAGTGTTTCTTTATTCAAGGCTGTGCACAGAATCCCACACAGCCCAAAGGTTATGAGAGAGGAGCTCCCCAAACACAGAAACACATCATTATCTCGACACAGTATAGGTTACACAAACCACACGTCACAATCTGTTAACAAGTCAGCTCTTATCAAACACGCGAGATGCAGTCACTTGAAACAATCCCTCACCTAATCATCAATATCATGAGTGCCAAGGTCATCATTGTTACCAGTTCCTCACAATTCCAACACTCATTATCCTTTCATTACTTACTTCTTTCAGTCTTGTAAAATAAATAAAAATATCTTTATCGAGACAACATTTGTGTTATTTTTAGCATAAAGGGACCCTTTTTTCATGACCTCTGACCTACACACTACTTGTGTAAAACGTCATTCTGTTATGGCAAAATTCTTGGTTATTTCTGTGTTACCTGTACTTTCCATCCCTTTCCTTCATGTAAATCTCTTTTATTAAACAGATATTTGACATAATGGCTGCCCAGACCAGTCTGTATGCAAAGTGAGGAATGATGTGCAATTTGTTCAAAATAATGCTAGTTTTTAATTTTAGTTTGACATGACGGAAACTTTAAGATTATTTTAACAAAGTTTGACAAACCTATGTGACACATCTATAAAGTCAGCTGCATCTCTGTTTTTTTATATTATTTATATTATTTATTTATTTTGTCTCTGCATGATCAGTCCAAAAAAACTATTTTCACAACATCTTATTGAGTTTGTTGAACAAGCAAAACTTTTCAGCCTCGGAGTGGGGTTCGACCACTTCAACTCAATGACGTGACAACGTCCACTTTCAAGTCAAATCTGTGGAGATTTGTCAGTTCACACGTGCACTAGAAGAGCTGATCGATGTGGAATCAGATATTTTCACCTCTTTAGTAACTGTCTGCACACAAAGTAGTACATTGTGCATATCAGTACAGCAAAGCTCAATATTGTGTTGAATGACTACTGAAATTTACTGAAGGACTCAGAAAACTAGCTAAAAACTAAAAAGAGCAAACATTAGCATAAATTAGCTAAATGCTAAAAATTGCAAAGACTAGCTACAGCAGCAAAAGTTAGCTAAAATCTAAAAGTCCCAAATGGCAAGCCAAAAGCTAAAACAGCATAAGAAGATAAATGTATGCTGAAATAGATTTTAAAGATATCAGTTCTTTTGATACTTAAGAGATTTCAATGTATTTCTACAGGAAATGTTATACAAAGATGACTACTTTTAAAACAGTATAAAAGTTGTAGTTACTTAACATTTTGATACAGGAAAAGCACAAATATGCAAACGAGTGTGAGAGAAACAAAAATTAGTTTGCGGATAAAAACAGGGAAACAATCCAGCTAACTCAGCATTTTACGCAAATAAGGACACTTATGTTTTTTTTATTATTTTGTACCATCACATCTACAGAATAGAAGCCTAGCATGATTCTAAATAAACTGTAATCCTCAGCAAGTCCACACCTTCAAAAAGAACAACAAAGGTGTCTGAACTTGTGGCGATCTCAGTTTGGTCACCAAAGACCTTCTCTCACTGAGAGGAGGTCTCCGTTATTTGATGTGCAGACAGTTTAAAGTCCTGATGGGGACGTAAAAATAAATAAAAATAATGATAAAAATCACAGCTTGACACTCACTGCGCACCACAGGATGCCATCACACTCCATGCCCACTCAGACTTTTTATAAAGGCTCCTCCTGAACACATTCAGTCACGTCACTAACAAGTCTGACTGCACTAAATGTATGTTGTCAGAGATTATTACTCACTTTAATTTATGTTTTTTAGAAACAAAGTCGTTGAACAAACAAGCAAACAACATAAAAACACAATAATTTAACCAACATTCAGTTTTAAATAAATAAACTTAAAGCATTAAAAGCATGAAGATAAACTGTAAATTAGGAGGTTGTGAAAGTGAGTATAGAGGTGTGATGTTATCCAAATGGAGCCAGTTTAATACCTGAGAATCTGGCAGAGGGAGGTGAAAATGACTTCCAGTGGAGCATGGTGGGGCTTTGCACACATGAATGAGGGGAAACCTGCTCTGAATGCAAACCTTTGTGATCAGAAAGGCTCAGCGCAGGTGTTGAAGATGAAACAAACGTTAGTTTGCATGCCGACAGAGAGCCCAGCTTTACTGCCACGATGCCCATGTTTTAATCAACTCACTGATTCTCCAACACAGTGGCACACCAGTCAAAAACAGACCACTTAAAGGAGACACATCATGCTTTTAAATCCTTCTTTTTCACATTTAAATCATTCAGTTTGGAAAAAGTGTAACTGCAATACTTTGGTCTGATTTCCTCCTTATTGTAACTCCACAAGCCCCTTTCACCTCTTCTCTGATGTGTGTCTCAGATTAACTCATTCTGAAAATGTCTCTTTCAATCCAAATGAGGTGCTTCAAAACCCCTACAGCTTCCAGAGTG